GTTGGACTTAAGCCGATTTTACAAAACAATGCCATCAATTTGACGGAATGCCATGCCAGCATCAAGGAGCCATAGGTTGTTCATAAGTGGTCAGACCGTAGCGGTAGTGTGGCGCAATCATGTCCTTTTTATAAAAGATGGCGGCATAAGGAGGTATGGGGGCAGTCTCTGCACTGCCACGGATTTCCGTTTGTCTTAGACATAACTTGCATTTATTGCAATTGAAGCTGCGATCGTTATGTTTTTTTTCAACAAGTGCTCCTAAAGGTGTCTGTCCTTCACAGTCCTCGTGCAATCTCAGGTGATCTGAGCTTCAGCTTTAACGGAGAGTTTCAGCTGATTTTGTTCAAAAAGCTAAATTTACAGCCCATGTTTTACTTTCATTTTCAATATAGTTGCCAGCCTGAGCTCTGCAGTAACTCCCCACGTCATCAAGACACTTCCTTCTGTTGCACCAAGACAGACAATTACCGCAATATTACCACCAAGAAAGGCGGAACGAATGCCACAAAATTTGCGCAATGCCATGGCGTGTTTATAAGACACCATGCAGTTCTTGGTTTTCATTGACATGTTGTTGTTTAGCATTTTTAACTCAAATTTGTTAAGTAAGGTTTGGATCTGACTACGAATTATCAAAACTGCTATACTCAATCCATGCTAGTATGGACCACAGTTTAAATGAAGACAAATCTTTCCTAAAAGCATTTCAACCTTGCAGCTATCAATGTTGACTTCTTTTTGTGTGTGTGTGTGTGTGTGTGTGGGGGGGGGGGGGGGGGGGGGGGTTAGAAAAGTTAAAAAAAACTACTTCTGCACAAAGTTCATTGTGGGAATAAATGCATCATTGAGACGATTATTATACAGAATGCAAGTTATGCCACTTTAACTTTGGCTTTATTTTTCAGACATAGTTTTAGTCAAGTTGCAGTAAACGCCTACAAAACTTTATTTATTTTATTCCTAGCTTTTTATTCTGTATAAATCTTACCTGTGATGAGTCATTCATGGATCAGATCCTCTCCCATTCTATTCATCAATGTCTGAGTGTGTTTCTGTTTTCTGACAGCAGAACAAGTAAATTATGAGCGTCACCTAATTGTCTCATAACATGATATCATTTCTCGTGACAAAAACTTTGTTCAAGGCCGAATCTTGGCTGTTGCATTAGTGTTGCATGGCGGCCTATCTAAACTGTGACTAGAATTCTTTTTAAGTTTTGATTGCAAAAGAAACATTGAGGATGTAAGAAAACTGGAAGTTGTGCGAGTGCTTTTTTCAGCAATAGGAAGGCAAGTTGGGGTGAAAGCAGGAAATGAGTGTCAAGTGTGAAAATTAACTTTTAATTTAAGATGAAACATTCTCCAAAAGTCAGGAGAGGGGGAGAGGGAGAGCAAGTTGACCTGGCGGTCATCCGGCTTGAAAATGATTTCCAGTGGTTGACAGCAGGAGGAAATGCACTACACAGGGCTGATGAGAGACAGGAGAAAACTGTTTACCTTTCTCCATGCTCCTCTGCATCCCTCTCACTCTGCCGTCTTTTTTTTCTCCTCATCTCTCTGCCTCTGCTCCTGTCATTCTCTCCTTCTCACCCCTTCATAATCTGATGCAGTTGTCATCACTCACAGAGACATGTGTGTTTGTTTGAGAGGACCACTGATACGCTGCTCTGGCACATCTTTTAACAGGAACTTGTAACTAATGACTAATGTAGCCCACAGATAGGAGGAAACGCTGGCTTACTGTAAACTAACCTCCTGCTAATGGAAGGCGATGCTCTCCTTTCATGGTCTAGGCCACCTGTACTGCTCTCGCAGCTCCTAAACCACAAGCAGCACTGGGGTCTGATCAGTACATCATGTTGTTGACTGGGTGGATAAATACAAGTGTGCTACAGACAAACACAAGGTAGTCAGTACCAGAAACAGTGTGGCTGGGCTCCCAACGCCTTTGGCTATGTAATACGTCTCTGTCTGAACTGTTTTCCTCTCATGCTGCCTTGTGATTGGCTGTCTTGGTCCCAACCTCACAGCTGCATAACTTATGTCTTCTTTTCCCTCAACTTTCATCATCTTCAGTTAAGAAAGTAACAAATTCTGGGTTATCCAGGTAGTGCTGTGCGGTGTGTGTCATGCTCGTGCCACTGGTGCATTTGGAAGTGATGAATGACTCAACTGAAAGTGGTTGACTCACTAGCTGGCGTGTTGTGAGAAAGGGAACTCCTTGGTTTGCAGCGAATCCCCCGAGGCTGCTTTGCAAAATCAGTTCTCATGAAGATCCTCAACGGAGACTCCTGTATGGGGTATGATTCACAAAACAATTATTTTCCAACTGCTTTGTTTATACCGCTGCGTATTAGCGCAGCATGTTGGCTGTCAGCAAACGTGAATCACGCTGTCTTTCTCATTTCTGTTGCTGTAATGGTTTTGGAATTCCTTTGTGATTATTTGGTCATGCATCGGTCTCCTGCCATCTTTCTTAATCTCCAAGGCATTGCTTGCGTGTTTGTGTTTCAGACCTTTTTTTTTATTACTTGGATGTCAGAAGAGAAAAGCAATTCTTTTGAAAGGAAATATTCACACCATTTCAAGACCAGTCAGACTATTCATAGAAAATGTAATTGCAAGTGAATAGAAATGATCTACTATGCTCACCAGCTCAATGACACATCCCTCCATACATGTGAGCCGATGTGCAGAAACATTGCGTAGCAGTGTGAATACGCACTAGTAGAACCAAAAGGTTTTAGACCCAACTTGTGTTCTGTGACTTTATTGGACTCTCAAATCTGTCTTGGAGGAATTCTGGCTCACTCCTCCTCACATTGTCTGTTTATTGAGATTTGGCAACAGTCATTTATGCAAAGCTCTCCAAAGGTCCCAGTGAAGGACTACCAGCAGTCGCACCGGAGTCCCAGGAGACAAAAACGGCAATCCCCCAGGCCCGCCCACAGCCGCCCTCTCCATGGCAGGCCAAGCCCGAGACCAAAGGGCACTCAACCCATCAGAGCCCTGGAACCCAGACCCCACCAGGCAGCCACAGGGAGTGAGCCGGCAGATGCCCCCGGTCAGCAGAGCTGGTCCCGTTCTTACTGGGGTACTGATGAGAAGGCACCCCCGCCCAATGCAGAGCAAAGTGACCCACCACCCCAGACCCCAACCAGAAATTTAATTCATTTGATTTATTTTCAACAACATTTTGGTGAATATTTCCAAATTAATAGCAAAAACTACACATTGTCACTTTGAAACATCATTGATTTGTTTTCATTGCTTTTGAATTTCGTATATTGATAAACTTATTGAATTGCACAAAATTCCAGATGATCAGAAATACATATGTACAACATATGAATTTAATGTTTTATTAAAGCTGGTATTCCTCAAAAAATTTGTTATGCATTCTCGATGCATTTCTGTTAATATTTGTGTTTGTTATTCTGTGTACAGTATTTGTGCAAAGGGGTCAGTTAGGACACACAGACAGATCGTGCGCAAGTGTTGGAGTAATCCCATAACTTAGAGGTGCTCCTCCAAACCGCTCTGACCCCAGCGCTCATGGGATGCAGTGTTTATGCTGGCTCCAATGGTATTAAACACAAGCTGCATATTTTTAACATTAGGATCCTCCAGGCTCAACCTGGGCCATGGAAACAGCTAGCTACCCGTCAACCTGGATCAGTCAACCCTCTGCATGTTTGGACCACCTTCTGCTGTGTATATGTGAAGCTGAGAGTATGTGATTGTGTTTACTGATGTCAAAAGATATGAGCTGTCAAACAATAGTTGTCTTCTGAGATGGCTCGATTGTTGCAAAGACACAAACTAACCTTGTGGTAAAGTTCGGAGATGTTTTTTGATTAAACAAAATTACAGCAGTGTATAAGAATTTGCATGTGCTTGACTAAACAGTGCATTTTTAAACCAGAAACAAAGGCGAAAATCCTATGAAGTTGTATTTTCAACTTAATTTCATTTTACTCAAAACTACATTGAAGCCTAAATGCAAACAGCTCCACATTTAGCTGCTTTTTTATTACTAGTTGTAGAAAATGTGGTTCTAAGAAGAGGGGAAAATCAGCCTTGAACATTCTTAGCCTGTGGAAAAATACCTGAGCAAGAATTAAGAAAAGCTAAACCTCTCTCTTGAAGCATAGTTGATATCCCAGTGACATTTTGATACGTCTCAGCTGCTTGACTGTGTTTCTGCATGCTGATGCTCTGTTCCAGGCAAATCAGGCAACAGTGACCCCTAACGGGCACTTTCTAGATGATTTAAGATCTGTAGAATATTCCGTTTAAAATATCTTTTGTAAAGTTTACCATTAATCACAAAAGACTTCTAAGATTTTTCTTTACTTGGCTGGAAGGCCACACATGTCCTCCGTTTAGTTAAAATTTCACATGCAGAAGTAAATATTTGCACCACCCATAAACTTTGTGGTATTCCAACACTGTTTCTGCAAGATGTGGATTGCAGATAAGTCAAAAGTCCTGACAGATCAGTTTCAGCTCACCTTGGTGACCCAGTGAGTGTTTGCAGGAGAAGAAGCGCGTGTATTCATACACACAAGGGTTAGGGTTAGTATCTAAGCATGCAAACTATACTTAAAAACAGCCTCACATGCATTCCTGCATGCACATGCTTGTTGTGGATGTCTACAGACTCTCTGTAGGCACATTTTCTGTCCCAGTGTGCTGTTCATTAAATATAGTACAAAGCATCTAATGAGGTGGGAAATTCCTCACGTAACAATGTGTGGCCCGCTGGAACTCGAAGAGTTAAACACGGCGACGGTGCGTGCACTTTGCATTAGATAAGGTCATAAGGTCACAGAATCAAAACAACGTTTTTAAGTTTCTAAAAAAAATGATTCTGTTACAGGTTTTTGGAGAATAACCTCACTTTACGTAACTTTAACTCTGACGTGTTATTGACAGCACATGTTACAGGGGGTAAAACAGGCTCAAGTACTCATTTTACATTTGTGTGTGTTGCAGAACTGTGGTTCAGAGGGTCCAGATGGCAGCCATGAGGGGCCTGGCATTCGTTGAAGTCTGGCTCTAGAGTCTGCAAGAGCTCCCGCTTCAACTGGACACATTCCACAGGTACTTATAAACACCTACGATCGCAACAGGAGGAGCATGCGACATGTGGAACAAAAGCAGGACTAAAAGCATTGACGTGGCTGTAAAATTGGACAAATATTTCTGACTACAGCAGTAAAATTGTGGGAAAAAAACACCTATTAACTAGACTGCTGATAGATTTACAACTGCTTCCTGGATGATTCTGGTGCTGCAACAAGTTATTTTTAAAGAGTCCTTTGTAAGAGCTATTTGGCTTTTAAACTGAACTGACAGAGCTGCCAACATTAAACAAATGACTATTTATGGAGTCAGAGACAAACTGTTACTAGAGAGGACTTCCAGTAATTGAAGCATTTAATCTAGACATGTTTTTTCTGATTTTGGCTCAGGACGTGTGCCCATGAGGTCGTCACCACTGGTCCTGCTCTTCCTGATCGGCGTCCAGGCTGTACTGAACATGGGTGGTGGGTTGGCCCGAAGTGCTGGGGCGGCCAATCGCAGAGCAGGACAGCAGGAGACAACAGCCAGGGACCACCTTTCTCAGGACCACACTTTGCAGCAGCATCATAGGACCACCCACCACAGGACCAAGAGGCCTCATCGAGCAGCTTCAAACACACAGAACAGGAGTCCAGTTGTTGGGCGTTCCGCTGCGGGTTCCTCATTCGACCTTTCAAGTCCAGTGGTAGACCCCAAGCTCTTCTCTAAGAGACGATACCGTCCCTCGCCCCGTGTTGTCTTCAGTGAGGTGCCCCCATCCCACGATGCCCTGGAAGGAGAGGGCTATGACATTGAAGGAGTCAAGGAGGTGAGGGTGCGGCGCAGAGCAGGATCACACATCATGCACAGAGGGGAGTACTCAGTGTGTGACAGCATAAACACCTGGGTGGGAAACCTGACACGAGCCACAGACATAGCTGGGAATGAAGTGACCGTGCTCCCCAACGTTACAATCAACAACGTGGTCAAGAAACAGTTCTTCTATGAGACCACCTGTCGATCCCCCACACACAGGGGCACTGGGGCTGCGAATGGGAGCCGGCCTGGAGGACGGGGCGGAAAACAAGGCTCAAAATCCAGCACCTCAGGTTGCCTTGGCATTGACAGTCGCCACTGGAACTCCTACTGCACCAACACACACATATTTGTAAGTGCCCTGACCATCTTCAAGGAACGGACAGCCTGGCGTTTTATCCGAATCAATGCCGCGTGTGTGTGTGTTCTCAGTCGGAAGTCTTGGGGAGGAAGACTGGCACACTGACTGAGGATGACTCCCAACCACTGGACTATGAAAGCACTCAAACACACATAGACACTTCTACTAAACAGCCACTGCAGCTTTCTTGCCAATACTGTAACTTTCCTCCACCTCCAAATCATACACTCCCACTGATCGCAGCATTCAATCAACACACACATTAACATACATACACACACCCTTTTATTCAATTCCCCTTCCCCCTGACCCTACCTCAGTCACAAAAGTCCTGGTTGTTTTAAGTTATGAGGACTGCATGTCATATTTATGGTCTATACAGTCAATATGAAAGTATATACAGTACGTGTACATATACAAAATGAATTTCAAGCTTTTAATGTTGATGTCATTGTTGTGTTGTTGTTATTTATTAAACACCTCATTATTTGCCTGGTTTGTTGTTCTTGTTGAGCATGTTGGTGGAGACTTTAAGCTGCTTATTAACATTTATTAGAACTTACTTTTGCAGAGTGCATCTCAGACCTGAACTTGTTGAACGTGTTAAAGTCCTAAACATTTGAAATTATTTTTAGATTCAACAAGCTTTTGTAGAATTGGTTTTAAATGTTTGAAAAAAAAAGATAAATAAAGTGTTCCCATAGGACTTACCCATCTTAAAATGATCATGGACTTTAGTTTCACATCCTGCAGGGTGAAACTACTGCAAGAGATCAAAGGAGTCCATCAGATAAAACCTATGCTGGGATGCGAAAGTTTGCGGCAGCCATGTTAATCTTCATGATTTTCCTGTATGAACCGTTGGTTGTTCCGATAAAAAAAAATTCTGTTAAATATATCATACAGGAGACACACAGTGATATTTGAGAAGTGAATCAAAGTCTAGGATTTACAGAAAGTGTGCAACAATTGTTTATATAAAAAAATTAGGCATAAATTTGGGCACAACAACAAATTAACTTAAGTAGATCACTCCTGGAAATACCAGGCTCTAAACGCTGGTCCCAATGCTTTAGTCTGGATTCTGATTGAAGGTATTCTGGATCACTCTTCTTAGCAGAACATCTCTAGTTCATTCAGGTATCATGGCTTCCGAGCACAGACAGCGCTCTTTAACTGTCACCACAGATTTTCATGAGATGGCCATTCCAGAACATTCTACTTGTTCCTCTACATGGATGCTTTGTAGATTCTGGCTAGTGTTTAGGGTCGTTGCTTCGTAGAAAGGTCCAGCCCCGTGCAGTTTCAGCTTTGTCACTGATTCCTGAGCATTGGTCTCCAGAATCTGCTGATATTGAGTGGATTCCATGCATCCTTCAACTTTAACAAGATTCCCAGTCCCTGCACAGCCCCACAGCATGATGGAACCACCACCAATGTTTTACTGTAGGTAGCAGGTTTTTTTCTTGGAATGCTGTGTTCTTTTCCCTCCATGCATAACTCTCCTTGTTAACTCCAATGTAGTTTTATCAGTCAACAGCACTTTATCCGTGTTGCAGTTAGCCAGTCTACTAAGGCGAGATGTCCACATATCAGAAAATCCTACTGTCTCCTGCTCACCTTTCCTCCAGCTCACTTCTAGGTCCTGAAACGTTAACGACTAGAGATGCAAATGTGATTTTAAAAAATACATGAATTCCATTCAATTTTATAACATAAAATCATTTAGCAGACTCTTTTATGATCTCTCAAATTCTAGAAATCAAAAAAGTTTAGATATTTAGAGAGTCATTAAAATAGTATGTATCACTCACTGAGATGTGGAAAGATGGCAGCCAGTAACAAAACAGGTTTCATCAGAGGAAAAGGAGCAGTTAATCATTTTATTATTGGATATCTACTAAGAGACGTACCTCCAGTACAGGCAAGAAACCTCAAGTAAAGTATTTGTGACTCTGACAGTTTGAATATGCTCCCCTGGTTAAAAATTGGGAGAACCTTATAACACATTACAAATACTAAAAACAGAAAACTTGTGGCAGTAAAATAAAGTTAAAACACTAAGACAGTTACTGTAACGATGCTCAGGTTTCATCAACCCGATATTTATTTTCTGTTTTTGACAAGAATATAAATAAAAAGGGCCTATATTCATCAAATTATACAACTCACATACAAACAAGTTTTAGAACTACTTCAAAATTTTAGACATTGGTTTTGAAAGGTGTGACAATAGATGAAACAAACTAACTAAAACATCAAAACAACTTACATTTAGAAATCAAAGCAGCTTCAATGTTTCCACTTTTCTATATACCACTAAAAGAATCACATTTTAATGTTGGAAAAGATCAGAAGACTATTTGGTTGAGAAATTATTTAGATAAAACAAACATTATCAGCCATTTGAATGGCCGTCATTCAACTAAGTTCCCAAAAGGTAAAAAAAATAAATAAACACACACACACACACACACACACACAATGCAAAACCCAGTGTGGATGTGCTGCATCAGTTTATGCTGAAAGCAAACATGACTTTTAGCTTGACAATGTCGCCCTCTTGTGGTCATGAGTGAGTCACCCCCTCTTCTACCACCTGCTGCTGCCTCCCAAGTAAAAATCTACGGTGAAATTCAAACATAAGGAACTTTCCTGTTAAATCCTATCATCAATAATGTCTGATCAAAAGTTTATCAGTAAATTATTTTAGATGCTTTAGCTGAAGTTTAAAACATGATTTAATAAAGGTTGACTATTTAATAAAGGTTTTGTAGCAAATGTGTCAAATTATACAGAAGTAGCACACATGAAAATCGACAGGCAACATCAGCATATTAGCTAAGGAATTTTGATTAGGCTGAGAGACTAGAGATGTATGCTTGATTGTTTCTCTGTAATGTTTTAAGCTATTGAAGCAGATGTTTTTTAATTCATATTATCTTACTTATACTGCAAATGAACCAATACCACATTTTGTTTTATATATAATTTCACCAGCAAATGGCGTTACACTGCCACACACTTGAAGAAATAGTCACCAAACAAACTCTTTCGAGTCTTGTTGATAAATGTTGACGTGTTGATCACTTTCCTCCTCTAAGAAAAGAAACTGTATTACAAAGTACTCTATCTGATTTCAACAGACAACACTGGTTAAGTGTTATAAAAAGTTCAGAAGGGCTAGAAGTAGTCACAGTTGAAACAACAGTGTTATTGCATAAGCATGACCTCACAATACAAGGATGACCAGATATTTCCCAGAACTTGTGTAATTTTTGCAACTGAGCCACCACAACACAACTGGGATCCTGGGGTCTTGTCAGCTTGTTCTCTGCATTCAAACTAAACTTTTCTGTTTTCTTTCTGCCCTCCATAATGTTCCCGGCCGTTCTCATAGCACACACTTGCAGTACGAAGCCATAATGTTTTCAGGCAGAATGACCAACTAGCAATAATGGTACCTGATCTTTTTATTGTTTTATTTTTGCACTTGACATTTTGTGCAAGTGTCTGCACAGTGCTCCTAAATCTCCGTCCTCCTTCCTTATTGGTTTGGTTTTTTTTTCTTTTAAAAGGACATTTTCTAATTGCCACTAATAAGAAACATGAAGTACTCTTTGGATGTCCAACCGAGCCATTGTGAGGAAAATATCCATGCTGTCCTACACGATACCTCCCTGTGGTTCCATCCATTGGTTTCTTTTCATTTTAACGTTTATGCTTTTATTTTTATCTTTTTTGTGATTAGCAAATGATAAATAACAGTATGTTGGAACAAACCATTAATGCCAAGAAAGCAGGTCAATTTTGACAAATTAATAGTAAGAAAAGTAACAAAACAGGAATTCTTTGTTACCATCAGTGGAAAACAGAACATTATTTACAAAAAAAGGCTCATATTAATGATGAAACAAACATTTTTTTCTGTAGTATAAATAATTGGTTTGCGGTATTCTGCAGTGTCTATAAGTAAGTTAGGCTAGATAGCTCCTTAAATCTGTTTGATATTTTCCATAAAAGAAAAATAAAACCACCATCATTTTTAATTCAAGTGTTGAAGGCAATAAGTGCACTAAAACACAACGTGGCTAAGGTGAGCTTTCAACAAACACAAGGTAAGTTGATTTCTGAGCAGCCTCAGTTTGGAGAAACAGCTTTTACATACAACAAGACAAAGAGTGAACATCTAGTCCAGCAACGAGTGTCTTCCAGGTATCTTACAGGCATATTAAATTACTTTTTCATATTTTTAAATTGTTTTCTCAAGCCAGTGTGCGCTAAAATGACACTTTACCGAGTGAATGAAAAGTCTCTCAGGCCCCTCCGTTCCTTGTGAGCAGGATACCCTAAATGGATACCCTATATGCTAGAAGCAAACCAGAACTGCAAAGTTTAAGGCAGCTTTAATCTTCAAAATATCACAGCACTTCATGCAAATGTTACATTGTTTAATGTTTTATGTAAGATGCCATTAATCCCTTTGATCCGTTCTGAAGAAGCTTTAATGGGCATGATAGTAATTATTTATAAAATTCAAACAGATTAGCTCTGTGAGCAGGGGTGGACTGACTATTTGGCGCACCGGGAGCCGTCCCGGTGGGCCAACGAACCCAATGTGGGCGGGGCCGCCAGGCCGGTCTGACATTTATTAATTATTTCGTTCATTCATCCACTCGTTTTGTTCGCCTTTCTCTCTCGCTCTCAGATTTCTTACAAATTGGGCCGGTCAATAGGTTACCGAGTGCTAGCCGTGTGTTCCCCACATCAAGATGTATTATTGGTCTGTTTCTCATTGTCATGGGCTGACTGGTTCAGGGCCTTGCGACAGGGCTGTCAATCACAAGCAGCACAAACTAGGGTGGGCGGGACATCATGGGCAACACTACAGTAAGTAGCATTAGCACAGGGCTGGCTAGGTTACATTTTAAAACATGATGTGTGTGTTCAATAAGAAGTAGAAAACATTTTATATCTATAGCCGTCATCATGTAATATGAGCTAAAAAGGCCGTGAGTGTTGGTATTTGGGTTGATTTAGTTTAAATATATATGCTGAAGATTGGCTTCATGTGACATCACAACATTCTAAAGAGCCCATAGTTCAACAGTGAGTGACCCCCTTTCCATCGGACTGGACCAGCAGCGCCAGCGTGTTACTGGGCAGTACATTCTCGTGTACTCTACTGCTTGTCCCTTCCTATTGGCCGCTTATGAGAGGCGCAAATGTAAGCGCGACAGCGCCCTTGGTAGATCAGAAAATATAATTTTAATGCTCTGCACAGATTATTATCAAAACTTATTATTTTACTTAATGCATGGCGATCAGAAACATTCATTCACTGCTGTTTGAAGCAGATTTGTGGTAACAGCCCCCTGCTCTTCTCCGCTCTGCTCCTTTACCTGGTTTTTAACAGCTCCTCCGTGGACGTGGTGGACGTGGTGGAGCGATTTAAATTTCAAACTCCGTGGATTATCATCAGAACTCATTGTTCTAGGCAATGCAGGACGATCCAACTGATTGTTGCATCATGGAGAAGTGTGTCGAACTGTCCCGCTGCCCGTCACTTTCTCCCTTCTGTCACAGTTTCTCATCCTCCTGCCACCCGAGGCTGGAGGAGAAACTTGAGGGGGGAAAGTACGACCGTGATGTTTTTAATGCAGTTGTCCTGTTCCCAACACATCTGATAATCACAGGCTAACATGAAACATCCATTTAATCTCCATTCTCATTATTTTCCCTCTGGCTCCGGTGGAAAGCAGCAGTGACTGAGGGTAACTCTAATTAATTTTCCCTTAAAGATGTACATGTGTATTCAAAAATGTGTGATGTTGACCAGTAGAAAGGACTTTCAGCAACATAGGAATGAATAATATGGCAGGTTTGTGAATCTAATCACTGTAAAAAAAAGTCTTCAGGGAAAACATTTGGACAGTTTCTTTTTGGAAATTTCTTCCAAAAACAGTTTTTCTCCCACTGAGTTGTACTGCCTGGACCTTGCCTCTAACTGCAATCTGTGATCGATAGACCAGCAGAGAAGAGTTAGCTGCTTACAAAGCTGCTCCACTGAAAGGTGGGAAATATTTAATAAAGTTATCATCACACATTATAGATGTTGTAATTCCTTATTTGTTGTTTTAATGATCCTTTACAGATTTATTGTGCATGGTATTAATCCTTAATTTTGTGTGATCATGTACACTAAATCATCACTTATTCTCTATTACAGGCTGATCTGATATATTTGAGGAGTCGTTCTCCCTCTGTTCATTGTGGACTTGTTCGAAGACCTGCTTTCTATCTGCCTCCACTGTACCAAAGTTTGGCTGTTGAGTCTATTTTCAAATGGTAAGTTAAAATGTTTTATGAAATCATACTTAATTGTGGATTATTAGAGACTAATGTTTCCCATGTCCCTCACAGTTTGGCCTCTTGACATGTGTTTCCCCCATCCATGTTTGAGGACCTGCTTTCTCTCTGCTTCCACTGTACCAGAGGTTTGCTGTTGAACAGTAAATTTATAATGTTCTATAAAATCCTAATTAATTTGGGAAGATTAGAGACTTAATGATGCATCCCATGTTCTTTTCAGTTCTCTATTGATGGTTTCTTTATGACGAAGTCACCGCTAAATCAAAGAAGTTTAATGCTGCTATTTATTTAGATCATTTATCAGGATATTTAGTTTTTTATTGTCTGGGTCTGTTTTTAACTAACACTGAGTGTACACTACAAGATTTTTACAGTCACAAACTAAAAACTTGAAAGGTAGCACCAGGACTCTTCCCATTATTCTTCCTGCCCCACCCTTAGTCATGACACAACCTCTGTTGTTATTTGACACTATAATCAATACAAACTGATTGGTTGATTGATTGATTGATTGATTGATTGATTGATTGATTGACATACTGATTGATTGATTGATTGATTGATTGATTGATTGATTGATTGATTGATTGATTGATTGATTGATTGATTGATTGATTGATTGATTGATGTAGCTGTCATTTTAGTCCTTGAGTTAATTTACATTCTTTATTTGTTTATCACAGAATATGACTATCCTTTGTAGTATACAGAGAGGAGATGCTGAAAATTTTGCCGACTTCTATGTAGTGTCTGAGGCTAATGTAGTGGGCTGGTCGGAAGAGAAAATTCCAGGGCTGAATTTTGATCCCAGTCCACCCCTGTCTGTGAGTAAATGTGTACAGCATGATGTCTTTATGAAAAAGGAAGTTATGTAACTGGTCTTAACAAATTATTTTGTTGCAAAACCGTCCTGAACTTTTGTTAACTTGGAGTAATTGCATGAAGACATTGTTTTTGTGAGTGTCTTAGTTTGAACAAGTTATTATTTATCATAAACATGAACACAGCTGATATGTGTAAAATGTGAAGATTTTTTCCATATAAGAAATGAGAACTAGATTTATGTTACCCTGCTGCTTTTCATTTCTTTGCTTATTTCAAATAAAATTTTAGTTTTTTTACATCTGGTTTTCAGTTTCACGTTGATATTTTAATGCTAAGCTGTGGCAGGAGTTAAAAAAACATTGTATGCAAGCATTGTGCAAAAGTCTTGCAAATATTTTTCTTTTCCTGTGTTGAAGGATTTGTCCTGTTGATTTTTTTATAGTTAGTAAACAATCCTGCAGACAAATTTCATCATTGCGTCATCAGTGGGCAACGTTAGAAAAAGACAATGAGGTAAACGATCGTCTGGTTTTAAATGAAAACACTCAACAACCAACAAGTTCCCATCGAGTAGTCTCAACCCCCCCTCCTGCCACCCTTTGCACTATTGAAAGGGGCGGTCTAGAGTCTAAAAGCGGATCCTGCAGTGTGTGTGTGTGTGTGTGTGTGTGTGTGTGTGTGTGTGTGTGTGTGTGTGTGTGTGTGTGTGTGTGTGTGTGTGTGTGTGTGTGTGTGTGTGTGTGTGTGTGTGTGTGTGTGTGAGAGAGAGAGAGAGAGAGAGAGAGAGAGAGAGAGAGGGGTGGGGGGGGGCTTCTTCTTTACACGCTTGTGCCACCGGGTTAGTCACGTTGCGCGCAGCCAGATCAACATTCCGAGCATTTAACGGAGATCAACACGAGCACGGTGCCGTCCAGCCGACATGGGGAAGGTGGAAGGAGGAATGAAATGTGTCAAGTACCTTTTGTTTGTGTTCAACTTCATTTTCTGGGTAAGTTCGCGGCTGAAGCTGCGCGCTGATTGGATGCGAGCTGAGCAAGTGCAGCAGTCCGAGCATCCGATGAATCCAACTCGTGTTTTTAAATGCATGATCCGCACTCTAAAGGCTAATATGAGTTTTTAATAGTCCGGGGAAAGACTCGCAGAAGGGGAGACAATCTGAGTTTTTTTAGTTTTGGCTCACCGGGCTCAAATCAGATTTTCCACAGAGGAAAAATCCGCCCTCTTTTTTCCCGTGGAAGCATGTTTTTTAAAGGAAGACTGGATAAAAAGACAGACTGCATAGAAAACAACTCTCTGATTCTATGTTGCTTCATTAACAAACTCTGCAAATCTTTATAACAACATCTTCAGCTGCTTCCTTTTTTATTTATTTAGTTTTTAGCTCTATAATCACTAGCAGATCCCAGAGGATCACTCAATCAGACACTGTCAGGTGGAAGATCTGTGCCTATTGCATCTAATAACTCTTGTTTGAAGGGTTTACACACATTAGGGTGATGTTTTCTCTCAGGCTTCACACTCATCACTTATTTGTGAGCGTGCACAAAGATTTCCAACAAGCATCTGTGGAGTGGATCAGCTGCTGAGTGCTGTGAATGGATCCATTGTAATAACAGGACAATAGCATTATTTCAATATGATGCTTGGCTTCTACTTAGCAGCACTGCCTGTCCCACCAGTCCTCTCGTGCCCATGTTTAGTAAGATCTGAGTGTGCACTGGGAAAGATAAATGAAGATGTTGGGGGGCCTGGCGCCAGGGGGACATGCGTAGAGGTCCAAGAGACACAAATAAAAGAGAGACCAGGGATGAGAGAGGAGGGTCAAAGGGAGATTGAGAGGGATATTGGTGTGCATGTTTGTGTGCTCACGTGGCCAAAGAGGGACAGTTGGCAGGAGTTTGACCCAGATGCAGATAAAATAGATCAGCATAATGATATTCATTGGATGCATGTTGTTTTTTATCTTGCCATGTGTGCAAAGTGAATTCAGTTTACTCCAGGTAGTTTCTTTTGGCAACTGACTTGGCTTCTAATCACAGCCTTTCAAATGCTGTTGTTTGTGGAAAGATAGATGGTGAGTGACTGTAAATGGCTACAGGAAATGTTGCTTTACTTCTTCTGCATCATAACTGTAGTACATGTCTTGTAGAATATAATCGGTGTAAGCAGAGTTGTGTGGTGATCTACTGACCTTTTCTGTTAAAGATTAACGCCTGTCTGGTAAACAGGTGAAGACAAGTGTTGCTTTGTTCTGGTATGCAAAAAATAAAATAAAAATGAAGCAACTTTCAGATAGATTTTACCTGCAGCGATTTAAATAATTCCGATTTTGAATTCATAATCCCAGCAGGTATAACTTTCTTTCCATGTTATTCAGTTTGTTTTGGTTTCTCTGTTTTAGTTGCTGATAATTTGCTGAACTGCATTATTTTTTTACTTACTAGCAACTGAGCAGCAGCTTTTTTCATGCATTTAATATTAAAACACATAATTGTGATTTTAATGCAGCATTTATAATATTCAAACAAAAGTTGGTAAATTAAATAGAAGTCTACGATACATAAAAATGAGTTAGAGCAGGTGTAAATATCATTTTAATTCTTTAACTGTTTAAGTTTAATGGTGAAAGAAATGAACACCAAAACTCCTTCAGTTAGAATGAAACTTTTGTTTCTAAAATGTAAAAGAAGAATCACATTTTAATGTGATTTTTCATGAAATTTGCAAACAAGGCTTCTCTTTCAGGTGAAGTAACAGTGACCAGTCGAACTATAACCCAGCCCAGTGTAAAATGTCCTGTTCTTTTTATTTAACAAGTCACCCCCACCCAGAGTCTAACTCCACTCCTATTTCCTGTTTGAAAAATGTGGCGTTGCCTGGCAGACCAAGAGGGTGGAGCCAGTAACAAATACACACACACACACACACACACACACACACACACACACACACACACACACACACACACACACACACAGAGCGGCATTTGAAATCATATGGTACCAGCTAACATCATAGGGTACCTCTTAGCCAATAGTGATGGTAGACTTAAATTTAAATGTAGAGCAGAGTTTTTACTTGAAAAAGGCGCAACACTTACAGCTTTAGACAGATTATTAAAATTGTATATAAGATGCACTAAAGTACCAAATTATTGACTGCATGTGTCTACAGCACGATTAGACCCTCATTTATATAGTTTATCAACAAAAAAAGTTGATTTGGGGTGACTTGTTCTTTAAGGTACTTTTACTGAAAACAGCCACTGGGGGCGCTCATTTAGTCTCTGCATCATCTCAGATTTAGTGAGTGTGAGAGGTGACCTAGGTGACACAAACCCGTACATGACTCTGGATATGTTTTCTGTGCAAAATTTGATGCAGTTTGTTTAGCATTTTAAAATAATCTCAGGGTCAGGTCTGTTCTGATTGGTCAGATAACTGTTTAAATAAAAACAAACCAAAGCATCTCATTGTTTTGGCTGTTGTTGAAAATCCTTAACCATCCAGGACACAGTGATCCTCAAATGTTCTAATAAATCTCATGTATCTGTTTGTTTTGTTTCTGCAAATTTTAATGTTGAAATCTTCCAGAACAGAAGATGTCTGGCAAAATGCACCAGTTTAGGATTTAAATAGATACTAAATAATGTTTCAGCAAGCAGCCTCGCAAACACACTTTATGGTGGAGGTCAACTCCACCAGCCCTGCCTGTCGCTGAGCACAATGAGACTTACTCCACCCATAATTATCTCACTGTGTTTACACTCTCCATCTGCCCATCACTTTAATGTGCCCCTGCATCGTTTTTATTCTCCTAACATTGGCTAGACAAAGGACTATTTTAGGAAAACTTGAATCACTCACCAATTACCCTTGATGTTCTTAAACAGCTTTGCTTTAATTTACTGTAAAAGCTTGTTTCTTTATTTTTCTAAACATGCAAAGTACCACAGATATAGTTTCAGACCAAGACCACAGTCCTGTGTGCTCTGCTCTGGTTTCCATGGAAATACCCGTAACTGAATCACTCATTAAAGAGCAAGTCATCCCCTACCAGAATATTACTGGTAGGGTACTTCCTGTTTAAAAAAAATGCAACAAATGCTGTTGCCTAGCATACCAAGAGGGCGGAGTCGCTAACAAATACACACACACACAGGCTCACAATAACATTGTGACATCATATGACCTCTTAGCCAATAGCGATGGCAGATTTAAATTCAAATGCAGTGCAGAGTTTTTACCTGACAATGGAACAACACTGACAGTTTTAAGCAGAGAATTAAAATTGTAACTAAAATGCACTAAAGTGCAAAACTATTGACTACACATGTCTGCAGCACGATTAGACACGCATTTATATAGTTTATAAGAAAAAACAGTTGAATTGGGGGTGACTTGCTCTTTAAAAGTTGACCTTAGCTGTAAGCTCAATAAAGCTTCAGCCTCGGCATCCCCACCTTATTCAGTTATTGTTTGTTTCTGTTTGTGGACACAAGGGATCTGACAACAGGGCTGAATTTTATTTTCCTTGTTTAACAGGTTTGTGTGTGCGTACGTGCATGTGTGTGTGTGTGTGTGTGCGTGCGTGCGTGCGTGTGTGTGTGTGTGCGTGTGTGTGTGTGTGTGTGTGTGTGTGTGTGTCTTCAGGCAGAGAAAAAAGATGATGGCTCCTCTAATGACTTACTTCCCTGTCTTCCCTCCTGGTTTTGTATTCATTTTATTGTGTTTGTCTGTATTGCTCTTATTGAGCACTAAAGCCATGGTCACAGAGAAACAGTGGGTCTTTGTCCTCTGGCGAGGTAGGGAGGGAGCGACTGAAGTGAGGTGGGGTCGATGGGGGGTGGGTAGGATCAGGAAAAGAGAAGGGAGGGGTGTGGAAGGTTAATGGGGGTGGAGCATGGGGTCTGATGGTAGAGTGGGCGTTAATAGGTCCTTTGGGATGGTCAGGCTCATGAGTGCTACTGTTTGTGATGCATTTAGCATATTAGTTTGAGGCTTTGAGAAAGCTTTTAACAATAACGGTGATGACAGCTGGTTGTGGGTAAACCTCTTATCAAAACAACTACGTTCTCTTCCACTCGCTTCAGGACCTGGGTAGGGCCCAGCTCCTCTTCCTCTCGCACCGCCAAGAACTCTGACAAATACCGATCTTGAACAGATTCAGACTCCCTCATCACACTAATCCAAGCTGTGCTTTATCACTTTGAACCTGCTAATCCTTGACCACCCCCTTCCCCCACCCGTGCATGACACTAAATCCTGAGTTTGGGAGGAAGCCTGCTTCCCAACACCTGTCCCATTCTGATGCTTACAGCTCAGCTACCGGCTGCACTTCTGAACAACACGGTAAAATATAACCTGCAGATCTGGATGATACAAAATAAATAAATAAATTAATTAATTAATTAAAGGAAGGAGAAATTCAGAACCAGACAAACAGAAAACATTTGGTGAACGAGAGATCTCAAAGAGGAATTAGGCTGGAAATGCCAAAGTTTGATCCTGTTCAATTTATTTGCTCAGCTGGAGGTCATGCATGCAAATTTCCACAAACAGTGGTTCTAGATCTGGCACATGGACAGATCATGTGACAAACCTCTACTAAATTCTCTTTTTAGTCACTTTGATTCACTTCTTTCACACACACACACACACACACACACACACACACACACACACACACACACACACACACACACACACACACACACACACACACACACACACACAAACACACACATACATTTCCAGTGTGGTGTTTTATAGCTCTAATAGAACATTATCCTTCTCATACTGATCTTTCAGTGGAGCATTCACCTCGACCCTGAAATATATTACAGTTCTGAGGGAATAAAAATCACCTTACTCACAGAGAATAAGCTTCTAAGTCTTCTGTCGAGTTGTAGCGCAGATACATTTTTAATATGCACCAATAATGAAAAATACAAGCCACATTTCCAAGCAAGCTGGAAAGCTTGTCTTGGGCTGAAGGTGCCACACTGCTGCCCACAAGCAACTACGTCATTTTGTTTCCACACTGGAAAGTCAGAGATTGCTGAGGGGGTTGTTTTAAAGTTACGTACTGTAAATTACATTTTCTGTAAACTGTTGCATGAGCACGATTCAAAATCCTCCAAGTTCCAGGCCAATTATGAAAAATTTTACTCAATACATTTTGCTTGCACAAAGGGAAAAAGCTGAGTGGAAAAATGACTCAAACAAAACAGAAAATTGAGTTAAGAAGAAGAACCCATAATAATAAAAGCTCATCCCTTGTTTTGTTTTGGATCAACATAAAGGTTGTGCAGGTTTATTGATTAGTCCCGTTTTTTATCTTGAATCTGCATCATAACTGCCCCTCCTCTCTTTTTCTTCCTGTAGTTAATGGGCTCATTTGTTCTGGCGGTGGGACTTTGGCTGCGTTTTGACCCAGAAACTGTTTCTCTTCTCAACGACAACAAGGCTCCAGACACATTTTTCCTTGGTGAGTGATCTTTAGTCAAGTAAGACAGAGAACAAAATATTTTATAACTGCTTTTTTTATCAGTTGACTGCAGGTAATAAAAAGAAAAAGAAAAAAAATATTTTTTTTTTGTGTTGTAATTACACAGCATTAATTTTCCACATGCATGCAGAAGATATGGGGGAAAACAGGAACTGACTGTTTCTCATATTGACTGAGGATAGATGTGGGGAAACCACAGACCCCACCAACACCTTTCAGTCAGTCTGTCTGCCCAGATGAAAAGAAAGGTGCAGACAGACGAAAAGCCACAAAAATATAAAAATCACAGAAAACCTTTTGACTTTAGGACAGAAATAGGAGAGAGGTAGATCTATGTGGGAAACAGACAATTAGCTGCATGCTGGGTGTGTGTACTCCCACAGCCCAGCAGTTTGTTTAAAACTTACTTTAATATCTGTTATTTCAACAGGCTCCAGAAGAGATCCTCCCTCATCTGATTGGTGCTTTACTTTTAGTAATTGTACACAAGTACAGTTATGTGGAAGACAGTTTTGCACAAAATCCCATAATGATGGTAATGTGTGGGCTTGTGTTAATGAGTGGATGCAAATAAAGTCAGATGTGATTCATTTGAAAGATTGGTGGGATTCGGCTTTCTTAAGACTGATTTATACCTCTCCGTTTGCGTCAGTGTGGAGACATGCAACGCTATTATCTCTGACAGGCTTACAAAGGGTGACAGAGACATGCCCAAATTTTTAAACATCTGTTGAAAGTGATGGAGTCTGCAAGCTTGTGATTGGTCAGAATGTCACTTCCTGTAATAAGTTCAACAGCACTGCCATTGCCTGGTCAAAAAGTTAAAAGATATTAACGCGAGAGACACGGAACAGATTGAGAAACGTATTGCTGAAAAAGACCAAAAATATGAACGTTTATTCACTTGTGACTGAAGGAGTACAAAACATGGCGCAAATATTTTATTTGTGGACGTAAATGACGTGAAATGTGGGTTTAGAGTATGGCTTAGCAGTGGCAACCACATAAAGAGTTGGAGGAGAATAAAGGACAAATGTGTCTGTGTAATAAAGTCTCTGAAATATATAAACACATTAGTAAATACACTATCGTGGACCGGATACATGAGTGTAATGGTGGCATGATACCACAGAAAAGCACCATGCCCTCTGTTGTCAGGGCGGGGAATCGCTTTACAACACTCCCCAGGTGATGGACATGTCTGAGAGCAAAACGTCTCTGTCAATGCATGTGCGTCTCTCCCTTGCAGAGCTTATGGAGAAGTATAAATCAGACTTTAGTGTGCTACATGTGGCTATGACTTAACCACAGGAGAAGCATACATCCTTTTTTTTAAATAAATGACTTAAGTACCTACATCTTCTCATGCCTGAAAGAAAAGCACACTTCGAAATTGTCCAAGGTTGATGCCAAAGCCATTTCTACTTAATGTCATTACTGAGCCAATGCCATCTTTGTAAATTTTCACTATCGCAGCTTTGGTGCTAAGCCCGCCAACGTCTCTCGACAAACAAAGAGAGCTGTGATTGAACAGACCCAAAAATCTTCAAATCATGGGAGGGTTGGGCTTAGGGCTAGGCATGATACAATAGAGTGTAGCTAGACCAACCAAAAGCTTTTTGTTATTGCTACTTGTTGTCTAGACTTTGACAGGGAGATATGTGTCCATATACTGTTGCTGTTTCTATTCACCATGCCAAACTTCCCCTAAAGAAGTATATTTTTGCTATGAAAAAGTAGTAATCCAAAAAAGCATTACTTCAGCTTAACAAAGTCAAATAAAAGAACAAAAAACCATAAACTGACTTCCTTTTCTGTGTTCCTATGAGATTTACCTGTCTGTTGCACCTGATGTACCATCCTGAGTGGAACATTTGCCTCTGAACAGACTCGTGTGTATGTGAGCATGCTGCTGAGATCAAGGCTTTGAATCTCTATGTATGTTTTCAATCTGAGTTCTTTAAGGATGAAATCATAAAAAGGTCAAAAGGCTTGGAATATCTTACTTTAATCTTACCCTTAGTCTAATTTATTATATAAGTACACAATATGGTATTAAAGAGATATAAAGAATAACATGTTTGAATAAGTTCAGTTTTTAAAAGGCTTTTGAAACCACACTACTGTTTACAGTGTGAAACGTTGACTTTCTTCAGCTGACATTTCTAAAACTCTGCTGCCCTCTTGTGATGACTCATTGGTGAGGTCACTGCCACGTGAACCAGGAATGGAAAAAGCTGCTGTTCAGAAAAAAAGCTGCCTTAAGACCCAACTCACTAAAATAAAACACAATCAGACTTAATATTTAGTTTGATATTTCTAAATTCTGGTATTTTTGCTTGTTTACTTTAGTCTTTGTGTTGTTGCAATATTGTTTAAGTATCATTCCTTTTCCTGCATTGCCCCAATGTATCCAGGGGTGTATATACTGATTGGTGCTGGCAGTCTGATAATGCTGGTTGGGTTCTTTGGCTGCTGTGGAGCTGTGAGAGAATCTCAATGCCTGCTGGGTTCGGTGAGCACATTTATTATGAGTTTGCTGGTGTGTGTGTGTGTGTGTGTGTGTGTGTGTGTGTGTTTGTTTGCACCATTTTGGGGACAGCAGCCAGACAGCATCATCATGGTGTGAGGACTGAATTTCGTGGGGACCCCACAAAATTTGCATTAGATTCAGTGGAATGAAGTTCAGTGAGATGACCAAACTGTCAGGGTGGTCCTCAATATTGCTGTATAACCCTTCAGTAAGGGTGGTCCCGAAGAAGCAAGAAAAAATATTAGTTCTTGCAAATGATTATAAACAAGACTGTGTGTGTGTGTGTGTGTGTGTGTGTGTGTGTGTGTGTGTGTGTGTGTGTGTGTGTGTGTGTGTGTGTGTGTGTTAGCGTATCTGTTCTAAAAGCATCATCTACGATTTCCTTCTTCAGTTCTTTGCTTGCCTGCTGATTATTTTTGGTTCTGAAGTGGCAGCAGGAGTGTTTGGATTCCTAAACAAAGACAAGGTACATTTCTTCATTGAGTGTTTAAAATGTTTGGATTAAGTTTTAAAATGCTGATACCTAATTGTCTTTCTCACAGATCATTGAAGATGTGCAGAACTTCTACAAAAAGACTTATGATGAAAACAACAACAGTACAATGATCCTCTCATACCAGAAAGTGGTGAGTTGAGAAGGACTATATATTATAAAAACACAATATGCACATGTATACTCTATGTGACATTATTTGTCTTGTGTTTTTCTTCTTTTTAGCTCAACTGTTGTGGAACCAAAGCCAGCCGATGCTTTGAGTCTGGTTCAAACACTACGGTCTGTAATCAGCTCCAGACGTTGTTCCCTAATGACTGTGATCCTAAACATCCTGACAGCATTCAGAGGAACCTCACTGCTCTTATCTTTCCTCTGCAGGACTGTGAGTCCAGAATCGAGGAATTCTTCAACAATAAACTCTACATCATCGGCTACGTGGGCATTGGCATCGCCGGAGTCATGGTGAGTGAGGAAACCAGAGGAAGCAGAAATATTCGCCACTAATCGGGAGTGACGTTTTTTTTTCTCGTCAGATAATCGGGATGATTTTCAGCATGGTGCTCTGCTGCGCTGTTCGTAACAGCAGGGAGGTCATCTAAGCTGCTTAGACCCCTCCACCAATCAGCCCCTAAAGACTCGTCAACACTTTGGTTCAAATATCTGCTCCACTAAAGAGCTCAGCTCACTTTATTTACTCCCTATTTTGATTTTTTTTTTCTACGCAGAATGATTTTTTTTTCTGGTATTTACTTCTGGTCACAGAACAAGTAGATTGTTTCCATAACATCCTGACATAACTTTCACATGCTGAAGGTGGAACTGTAGCACTTGTGTTGACTTGACAATCTCTCAAACACTTTTCATCTTGGCCATTTGGACGTTGTTACAAATCTTAACCCACATACTTTTACAGCGGTGTCAGGGCTTTTTCACACAGCCCTGAGACTGACCCTGTAGCTGTGGGAAACATGAACCCGGGAGAGCCATCAGAGGTGAAACCAGCTGAGTTTACTTCTCTGTAACACAGAAGTGCACACACACACACACACACACACACACACACACACACACACACACACACACACACACACACGCACGCACGCACACACACACACACACACACTAGGGCTGCATTAGGAAAAAATGATTTTCCTGTAATACTTTATCTGATTGAAAAACAGTGTATGTCTTTAATTTATTGCCTTTATTTGCAACATTTATATTTTGCATATTGAAACATCAATATTGTTAAAATTTTCTGGCTATTTTGCAGCCCTATAAATGGTCTCCCTTTTGAGCTAAGCTTCAATTAGGTCAATATTCAGTATATAAACAAATAGTCTTCTCAGAAGTCAATATAAATGCATTTTTTGGAATGGCCTAAAATATATACACATTGTTTGCATGTTTTAGAACATTTGCCACAAAGCATGTGCACAAAACCAATATTTCATACCTGACTATGTATTACTAACCCATGCCCAAGGTCCCTACTGCTGTAAAATACTGGAAAATTCACCTGGTTTGTCAATAAAATACATTTAATCTAATAAAAATATCTTGAAAAGAAAGAATGTTTGACACAGCCAAAGAACTGTGGGAACTTCCTAATTTCTCTCTCATTTATGCTTCCTACCATTTTCTCAATTATAAAAATAGGGTCTTACATAAGAACGTGAACTGTGGTGAGCATGCAGTTTGACTCAGATCAGGTGGCCATGCTGACAGGCTCTACACAAACCAACTAGGTAGCTGAAATCAGCCTGTTAGTTTCATTCATTTTTTTTTTCTTCTTCTTGTGCCTTGAAATCAAAACACCCACAACAATAAAACTCTCACAGAGAAAAATAACTCCTTGATAAAACTGCAGCCATTCATCCAGGTACAACCAGGTTGCAGCAATGAATGGAAATGTCATGATTTCAGTATGTAAATATGTTTCTTCTTCTATTCTTATTTATTCTTGTTTTTTTTTTACATGTGTGGTAGTTGTACAGTATTGTGGCTGAAGTGATGGTTACTATTTAACATGCTGTAAGCTGACAGGTGTTTTGCTGCAGATGTACATAGATGCAAACGTAGATTTAATCAGATATAAATGCTTCTTAATGTGCCTTTCTATGATAAACTGTTTAGTGGGGAGCCGGCTGTTTGAATATAGCAAATTAATCTAGAAAAAGTGCTAATTTTTCATAGAGTTGGGCACACAGAAACGTTTGACAAGGAGAGCATGTGGTACAAGCCGTTCCTGTGTCCTTAGCTTCAACAGCAGCAACTTTCCTCTCACACGTCCTGCTGGTACAAATAAATCAATGTTTAATCAAACAATGTTGGACTTGACAGCACTGGACAAATGTGGGTTTTTATTTTTAGAATTTGACTCAAATGAAATGACAACAAGAGCAGTTGGTGTTGTTTACTTTCACAATTCAGTCATCACACAACAGAGTCACCAGACTGTCATTTCAGAGAAGTTTCAGTGTTTACTGCCACTCGGTCCAAAAGCTGTTACTGTATTGTCTCAGTTATTTTTTGTGTGAACACCACTCATGAATGATTGTGTGTTGGTTTGTTTCAGTACCATTTCTCGGTTCTCAGGAATACAGCTGTTGGAATTTAATAAAGCTGAGAGGGTTTTACCCAGTTGCCTGTGTCCTTTTTCATTTACCGGGTATCTTCTTTTTGGTGTTCTCTGTTAATAATCTGATCACTTAGGGACTTTAAGATGTCCAGATGCAGATCATGCCAAAGCTGACTTGCTTTGTTTTATAAATTGGAGGCAAATGAGTCTTAAAATCTTCCAAAAATCTTAGAATAATAACAAGTCAGGAGCTTGGACAAGACAACCTGCTTAAATAAAAATATTTCTCTGAAAAGCTCCTGTATTAATATCAGAATTATGTTTAAGTCAAATCTTGCTGTTCTTTTCTGCAATAACACTACTGCTCAAAAAGTTTTATGCCTGCATAAAACACCAAAACAAACTGCATTTTGACTTAATGTGGCCAAAAGTCTGGATTACTCTTTCGTGTATGCATTTAGTGAGGACAAAAGGATCAAGAATACTGATATGTCTGACTTCAAACTATACATTTCTACTATAAGGACGTTTAATGCAGAAAATTAAAGGTTAATAAAAGCCTTTTCTTCTTTTTGAATACATTTGGTAAATAATCATATTCATATTAATGCTTAACAAATATGTCACAGTGGTTTATACATGTTGAAACACATCCATATGCACACATGCATATGCACACACACATTCACAAGCGTACACACATGCATGTACACACACACACGAGCATGCACACTCACTCATACGCACATCACACGTGCGTGCACAGCTAGTGCACACCAACACACACACAAATACACACAAACGTGAATATAAAAAAATGTATTTTTATGAGTGAAATGTTATCCTCTTTCTGCTATTAATGTTAAAATCAGTATCTGTGTGTGTTTTGAATTGAAGAGATTTTTATTTCAAATTGAAAGTTAGTAGGAATTGGGAAGGCATTGCCCTGTAGAGGACTGTTGTAGTGGTGGTGCTGCTTTATTCACTAATTCAGGTTGGAAAGCAGTGAGATTTTCATCCAGCTTGTTTGGTGCAGACTGTCTTCTAATTCTTTCTGGGGGGTAACTCACCAAACAGCTTTCCAATTTAGTATGGTAACACAACTAAACATAATTTAACTATTTTAAGTAGCTTTTACCATACCGTTTTATTTGTATAGCATAATTTTATGCACTGCATGAGATCTGACCAAAGTGCTTCACAGGCAAATACAGCAACTAAAAACACTAAAATAAGGATTTAAAAAAGCACAGACAAGATCACAATTTCAAACAGAATAAGAGATTAAAACACTAAAAGCACAGTTAAGATAATAAAACAGAGAAACTACCCCACGAGTTACAAACTAAAAACCAATCCATAAAAGTGGATTTTCAAGCGATATATAAAAACTGCCAAAGAGGGAGCCTGCCTTACAGTAATGGGCAATGCATTCCACAGCTGGGGGGCACCATGGACAAATACTCGCTCACCCTTTGATTTATAGCACATCTGTGAAATACAGAGCAGGAGGAGATCAGCTAACCTCAGTGAGCGCGTGGGAACTGTAAGCAGTTCTGACAGGCATGCTGGTGCTTCATCATGTAGTGCTTTACATGTTCAAGCTACATACACTACAATTTTAGAGGGAACCAAAGATCCAAAAGGAAGCTGGTGATATCTTCAGAAATGAAGGAGGTTACTAGTTTAGTCTCCGGGGGTTTATGTCAGAGGTTCACCTTTCTGCTCTTGCTCGAAAAACAGCTGAGTTTTTAGTTGAGGGGATAGTTATGTGTGCGATGCAGCAGAGGTTCCAGTACCAACCGAGCTAAAGTTACCCCAACACTGCAATGCAAGCATTTTTACTGCCAGAAAATAAACTAAACCGGGTCCTCAGTGCATGAGTAGATTAGTGCAACACTGTTCAAACTTGCATCACAAATTTACACAAACCTCATATCCACTATAAAAAAAAACTGCATGCATAAAAATAGATACATAATCATTTGTTTCACATTTGATTATTTATTTACATTTTTACTTTTGGAAATTAGACTAAAACAACAACGGCATGCGCTTAGATCTGTATCATCATTTTACATATCTGTTTATTTACATTTTACAACAAGACTTGGTCCAAAGAGTTAAAAAGATAAACTCACTGATAAAGTCTTGTGCATTTTTATTTGACTTTTCCAGAATCCAACATGAAAAGGCTGTTCAACAGAAACAATTGCAGAAGGCTGCCCTGCTCTTATAGAATAAATAAATGTGGACTTAGTAAATGCAGTAACACGTCTCCCTTAAACAAAATCTACAGAAATCAGCTTGTGTGATCACTAAAATCATAAAAATAACATACCAACTAAACAGTTTAAATGTTTTTCTATTTTAATCATTTGACCTCAAAACAATCAGTTTTTCTCATGTTTTTTCAAAGATATGAACCTTCAACTGTCATTTTCCCAGGTCATTGAAATCCTTACTTACGTAATCATGTCGTAGAAGATTTAATAAAATAATCATCTTGTGGTGAGAATTATTTGAAACATGTTCTCTGTTTTAATATAAATATACAATATATACATGGGTGAGAGCAATGCTCCACACCCCAGCTTCACATTTTCAAAAATGTGAAATAAAAATGTTTCAAGTAGAGTCTTATGCTATGCTATCTGGTTCACTTTTACAACACTGTCCTGTTGCCTAGTGGTTGTTAGGGGGAATCAGCTGATGGGATGGTCAGGTTTAAGTTACGAGGGGATATATTTAGATCTCTAAAAACAGAGGACAATGTGTGGTTTATTCTAGAGCAAACTGGTGATCAAATCCCTCAGTGAGGGAATCAACTTTTCTTCCTCACAATAAGCTCCACTGAAGCTCGTAGACAAGAAAGTGTCAACTGTAGTCTTTTTAATAAAAAAACAGTCAAGCTAAAGGCATGATTGAAAGCCATTCTGAAACAAAATAGCCTCTTCCTGGTCCCTTTAGCATTTATCTTCAAACCTCTTACAATAAAGAGGGTATGCAGTTGTAAAAAAATAAATAAAAACTGGATTTACAATCCCAAAACATAGCTGCTGCATTTTAATTATTCTGCACTAAGGTCTGAAATCAGATTATTTATGCAGAGTAGATTTCGTAGGGTGTGTAACCAAGCAGGAACTCTCCAACTCCCACACAGTACACAACCTGTGCGATGCCGAAAAGTGGGGCGATGACCAAAGCTCGGCAACTAGCTCCCTTAAGGAAAGCCTTGGGACCCTCTTTCCTCAGGATTTTCCTGCAATGGAAAAGGAAAGGACATGATTAGATTGTTATACCTGTTAGATGAGGGAACAATGTGTGATCTTATGCAGAGAATTAGATAAATAAGTACCTGACACAGTCCATAACTCCATTGTAGGTCTCCTCATTAGCTCCTTTCTTCAGTGACTGCAGTCTTGTCTTGACCACTGGAAAAATCAACAGCATCTTGATGCTTTAGTAAAATAATCTAACCAGTGTTTTGGTCACAAGTTCTCAGGTTTGCATGCACTCATCAACTCACCATCACAAGGATTGACAGACACAGCAGCGACTGATCCAGCCAAGCAGCCAGACATGAAGGACCAATAAAAAGGCACAGATGGATCTTCTGATGAGTGCTGACCAAGCTGGTGAACATGTGCAAAAAGAGGGAAGTATACAACAGAGAATGGGATGTCCCTGAAGTAAAATAAATGGAGAAAAAATTAAAAACTGTCCAACAAGACTTAAAAAGTAGGGCCTATACATGTTTAGCATTGTCACCTCATCAAGGTGGCCCCAAGTCCCCTGTACAATCCTGCAACTCCTTTGGTCCTCAGAAGATCTTTGGTGATCTGGATGGCAGAAATTTGCATGACCTGAGGTGCAGGGACCGTGTTATAGGAGCGGCTGAGGACAGCACTTGTTCCTCCCATCTTCAGTGTTGTTGCCACACTGGGTACAACTCTCTGCTGAGCAACTAAAAAAATGCAAAACAATCTATTTTGGTGAAAAACGCTGAAAACTAAGACATTTCTGAAACCTCACTGATTAAAAAGAAAATATTTAGTGATGGTTTCACTGTACCTAGCCTGCCTGCGTCTTGCAGCTGAATCTTAAGCATCTCCATCGGTGTGGTGATGATGACTTGGCACATTCCTGCACAGCATCCCGCCAACATCTCCTTGAAAACCGTGAGACTGCCACTGAAAACACATGCTGGATTAAAACAACTCAAGAATGAAAACAATGTTAATATCAATTGTTTTTTTGTTTTCATTGAATGCAACTCACACGTCTTTGCTCAGTTGGTGACGGAAGAAGTCATTAGCAGCTAGTTTTATGGCCTTCTCCGGGGTTACTAAGGTCAGATTTACTGCAGCGCCTACAAGAGCAGCCAAATGTTGTATTAAATTGACATTAAGATAAATCTTTAAGGCATTAAAGGCTTTGCATTGCAAGAAATAATATGTTCTGTTCGAAGTAAAAGCCAAAAACATGCCAATTATTTTGGTCTAAATTTGGTTGTGTCCACTGCTCAGATTTCACCAAAAGCCAATAAAACACAGAATCGATAGGCTGTTGAGTCTCACCTCTGTACATGCCAAAGTAGCCTTCAGATTTCACAGTTTTAATAAGGCAATCCATCCTGAAAGGAAAACAGGATCAAACACTTGGTGAGTTTTGACAGATCTGTGTCCAGTTAGGTTCTGATTAAATTTGTGGGACAAGAGAATAAAGGAGTGTGTGTTTACGAGAGGTGTGGTTCCTACATATTTCTGTACAGCTGCTGGCCACTGCGCTGGTTCTGTAGACGGGTCTTAGCCAGGTCGATTGGGAACACACAAGTGACTCCTACCATGCCTGCAATCCCTCCATTGATTAGTTTGGCAGGTAAGCTGCAGGGGGACAAGTCACAGATCAAGATTTGTAACTTTTCTCTCAGAATTTCCAAAATAAATCGATTTGTCTTTGCAGTCAAGGGTTAAACATGGCCTTGCCTCTGGAAAAAGGATCATCCAAAATAACTTGTGGCAGAGGGAGTTAAACACACACACAGAAGTTAAGAACCATTCTCTCTACTGATTATAAAATGAGTTATCTTGATTCATGCTCAAGCTTATCCCCATCATGCCAGACAGATTCATACCTAATCTGCTGTTGCTGGGCCATTTTCTTGGTTGTTGTTGTTGTTGAGTGGAAAAGCTGGTAAGTAAAGTAAAATTGGCCACTGAGGGAGAGCAGGCAAAGAGTCCCCATGAGACATAGAGCAAGGCAAGAGCAGAAGGACAACTGGGGTTATATTTATAGAGAGAGAGCGAGGGAGACCCAGCCCTACAGACCCAAAGATAAATCTGGCATCTCTCTCCACCCACATTCCCATCGGTGAAGAAATAGAGCCAGAGCCAGACATAACCACACCATAATACATTTAGAGGATTCACCTGCCAAATGCGGAGGAATTCATTCAGCTTCTTCAGTTCACGGGGTGAAACAAACATGAGAATGCACTTGAGGTGTGGCAGCACGGTGGAATAAAAAGCTTCAGCTTTTTGTTTTCTCTCTTCTGAGCTGCTTAAGATCAGGCAATAGATACCTGCGTTTTTCACATCTTTCTGTAGACAGTCAAGCAGTTTTTTCACACCTTTCTTAACAGTTTATCAGGAGCTTCCCCTGCAGGGCAGCAAAGGGCCCTGTAAAAACAACATCAGAGTCAAAATAAAATAATAAATAATACCTTGAGATGCTAAAAACCTGTAGAGCCCAAAGAGTTTTTTTCATGTCATAAATCTGAGACACCCTCAGAAGTTGTTTCCCCCTGACTGGTTGAAGCAAAAATGGTCGTAATGTTATGGCTGATCAGTAGCCTAGTGAACTAGACCAAATTCTTGCTTTGCAAAGAATGGTCTAGGCATGCTCCATTGGAACCTCAGCAGCTCCTACCAGGACTCTGGCTAGCCAATCACAGCTCTCTAGAGGGGTTTCAAACACATAAAGAGCTGTGATTGGTCCATAATGGTGGGCCAATCTTAGTGCTCTATCTGCTTAGTGAACAAATCACAGAGCTTTATCTGCTTTGTGGGCCAATCAGGGCACTCTATATGCCTGGTGGGTGGGATGATGCAACAGAGTGAAACAAGAGTATGTCACATTCATTGTCCAGTGGAATGCGGAGATCATTTGAAAGACAACGGTAGAACCCTCCCCACAACCGAGAGCCGTCAATGGAGCGTGGCCAGACTAAATAATACATTTATTTAGTCTGGCTTGCCAGGCTAGCTGATCAGTGGTTGCTGCTCCCTTTTTGTAAACTGATCTCTGTGCAGGATGAGAGTGTCTGTGCAAGTGGAATTTGCAGGAAATCACACAGAAACCTAAATCTGCTCTGATCACAAAATCATCTCCATAGTTCACAGATGTAAAACAATGCTTGGAACAGTGTTTTATTGTCTACCAGGTTACAGAAAACAAAGTAGAAAATCATGAGCAGAAATGTGCAACAACAACAACAACATCTAGCAGAAATACAACTTGCCCATCTGATTTATTTCTGTCATTTCATATGCGGTGTATTTATTAGCATTGTGTTATGTTTCCAAAGCAATTCCGGCTCTGCTTCTCCTCACCGCCAAGTGTGATAGTGCACTGATCATAGGAGAAAGGTCTAGGGTGGACACAGTGGTGTGTGCGCGTGTCGCAGCGTCTGCAGCTGCAGCAGCGGGCCGCGGGGTAGTATATATGTGGGTTGACATCCCGAGGGCAGCCAGGAAGGAAGGCAGTTTGGTACACCAGGGAGAGAGGCGCACAGCTACGCTGGATCAGTAAAGCCCTTCCAAAGCGGCCCTTCAGATTGGTGTCCTGGAGCACAGGAAGCAGGACTGTGAGTGCAGCAGTTCAATAAAATGTTTAATGCCAAATCTCCTAATTTTGTGTCTCAGTGTTTGATCTTTTTTGTTGTTTTATTAGCACTCGTGATAAAACTATAGCTAATCTCTTAGAGATGATGAGTTTCTGCTAAGGCATCACCCTTGTGTAGCAGTAGCCACTGCAGATGGTTGTGTTGACAGCCACACACTGGGTGCAGTTTTGTGTCTCGATCCATATGGTGTGATTCTTCAGCATGCAGGAGCATGCTGTCCCAGCCATCAGCACACACAGCAAAGTGCATTTCAACACAAGCAGCAGCATGCTACAGGTGCACACACACACACACACACACACACACACACACACACACACACACACACACACACACACACACACACACACACACACACACACACACACGAACAAACAAACAGAAGGGCAAACAGTGAGAAATGTATTCTGAAATTAAAATAAAATTCATACTAACCTTCCAGGTTTACTGTGATCTCACCTGATGCCAAAACACATTCAGAGAAGAAAACTGGAGAAGAAAATGATTCCCGGAGTTTGTTTGATCTTAAAGTTCTTCACAGACAAGACGATACGCCACGCCTTGTAGCAGTGGCTTCTTCTCTGTGGGTCCACCTCTACTCAGTTCCTCTCCTCGGAGGAAATTTGAAAATATCGAGAAAGATCATCCTCCTTTATGGAAACCCTACTCTCCCTGCAGTGTCCCACTGAACTTCTTGCTACATTGTGTGTATGGGGGGAAAGGGGGTTTACAGGTCACACTGACGAATGTAGGCTCAATGTTTTGACGCGAAAAGAAGAGCAGGTGTGACACTGATCTCTAAGAGGCGGCCAGAAAACAAACAGAAGTGTGTTCGGTTAGGAGCAATCACACGTTTTTAGAGAATCTGACAAAGATTATATCTCTGCCTCTTGTATTTACAAGTGTCTGATCTTCTTAATCTGTTTAACATTACATGCATGGACAAAGATTTTAAGAATAACTCAAATAAAAAAATGTAACAAAAAGATTTTTTAAAACAATCCTGAGGCAACTAGCTTTGTGCCATTGATAATCGTCTTTGTCTCTTTTCTTTTGACCATGACTGTAGGTCATTTTTTAACACTATACCCTTTTTGGTGTTTCCAGCCTGAATAGATCAATTGATTTTCTTGTTTCCTTGTCTTTTTCCCCCATAAAGACTGCATACTTGATGGCAGAATAAAGTGAAAGGTACACGTGAACATTTTTGGGCTGTGGTGTCCTGTCTCCAGGGCAGTGTTCAGTTGTACAGCTAAGACCTTGTGCTTATTACTGGAAATCACTTAAAGGAAAATCTGCTGCCTATGAAGCATTAGGGATAACTTAATCTTTAATGCCTAATTGATGTAGCACAAAATTTAAAAAAATTGCGTTTCTCATTGAGATAAAAATGTGAATGTTACCCCAAATGTGTTGTAAAGCACCTTGGGGGGTTGTAGATCCCTTGAAGATGCTATAACAAATACAAGTTACAGTTTTAAAAGAGATTCCTTGTGCTGCTTGGTCATAAAAGGATTTGTTGATCATCCTTAATGCAAGGTCAGCATCGGTATTTGTCAATAATCACTACAGAACATTACAATGTTTAAATAAAAATTGCTTATCTCAGTGAATGGTAGTGGTGGCGCTGGGGGGGGGCACTAGGGGCCGCTATAGCTACCCCTGGATTAGTCATTGCACCCCCGTAGCACCCCCAAGTAAATATTAGATTTTTGGTTTTTTTACAATTTAATTTTTAGTTAACGTGTGGATGTGATAATACTTAACATACAAAACAAAAATAATCAGTAAATTATCATATACAGTAGATAGTAAAAAACTTAAACCAAAACAGGAAATTGATGTTGACCTTTGACCTCATTTTCCACCTGCGAACGAGTGAAAGGTAGAGCTAGTGGTAAAATGGATCGGTTTTTTTGCCCAAATTTCCACAGGTTCAGTCAGTAACGAATGAATCTTTGGAAGTGATCTCAGACCCACAAAAACCTACGGATCTGGATGAATAGAGTCAACCCTCAACCGCCGCAGCAGTCAAGGGTGTTGGCGCTGGAAATGCTAACACTAACGTTAGCTAACCTTGCAACACTATAGATGGTTTTCTGTGTGGCTGTATGTATTTTTGATTTCATGGAAAAGTCAGTGATTGTTCATATGTTTATGATTTAAATTAATGATTGTTTCAGGTGTTGTTGAGGTTTTGTAAACACGTGTATCTGCTAGTGTTGAAGATGTTTTAGAGAACAATATGTACGCATGACCACTTCCTTCATAGCACCTGCAGAAAAAAAAATTCTGGAGCTGCCACTGGTGAATGGTAATTATTTTTGATTGGTCTGGTGCTGGGTCACTACTCACATGGTTGTGTCCCCCCTGGGTAAAAGGCTGCAGCCTCCTTATTTAAGCCTTTAATGCTCTCATAATTCCCATCTGTTCCCAGGAAGAAGTCCATTGTCCTCAGACCTTTACCCCCTCCCCCTTGTTCACCAGGTGAGAGGTGGAAACACCACACTCAGAGACAATCAATGGTTGCTAGTTAACCTAAAAGGTTTGGTCTGTAGCAAAATGCAGTATATTTCCATTTTCTCCTGTAATTTATGATTTTCATTTCAATTCATTTTATTTGTATAGTACCAAATCACAAGAAGAGCCATCTCAAGGCACTTCACAAAGTAAACATTTCAGTACAGTTCAGTTCATTAAGCCAAGTTTCCTATATAAGGAACCCAGCAGATTGCACTCACTGACTAGTGTCAGTGTATTTACACTGATATTAAGCAAGCATGTAGCAACAGTGGAGAGGAAAACTCCCTTTCAACAGGTAGAAACCTCCAGAGGATCCAGGCTCAGTATAAGCAGCCATCCACTTATAGCTCATGCATTCTGCAGAATAGGGCTGCATAATGGTAGCCTGACCTGCCAGATTCATCCTCTGTCTATTCCACACAGAGGATGAGTCTGGATACTCAGAGGCAGAGAGCACCATGAGGGGTGGGACTAGCCAGCTCAAAAATAATCAATCAGAAAAAAGACGGAAATGACGATTGTATCGCATGACGCTGCCGTTTTTTAGCTGTAGTCAAAAATGGCATCTGGTGATGGCGCCAACATCTTTCTTTCGAAAAAAGACTTTTGGTGATTATTATTGTTGTCCAAGACATTTAGAAGAGAGAAAAGAGCTGCCTTGAACTCCGCTTTATTGTTTATGAGAAACTGAGCATTGCGGTGTGTGACATACACTGCTCAGCACTAACTGGCTTGGTTAGAAGTCTCAGGGGGTGGGGTTATGTGAATGGGAGAGCTACCAGGCTATTTGCTTCCCATAAGGAAGCATTGGCATGACTGGCCAGTCTATCATAATGGTTTCAGTTGGTTGCACTGTTGCCTCACAAAAGAGATCTACAGGTTTGTTACTATTACTTTGTTGTCACATTTATTTAAATTGCTGCGCTCTACTTCTATCTGTCAGTTCCTCCTGTTGTTTAGCTGCTAATGCAGCACCCTGTTGTTTTAGGGTTAGGGTTATGCTGGTTCCTTCTCAAGAAGTACTTGTTCATCACTTTGGTTCCTGTTTTTTATTTAAAAATTTTTTAGGTTCACCTGCCTACCTCCGTTTACTCCTTCCCTTGTTCCTGGGCCAAAACACCGAACCATGACATATGCACTCACTTTCTATGCATCCTTTTGTTCCTATTATTTTAATGTTTTCATGACCTGACCTCTATTCCTGGTATACTGCTTCTGCTCTACATCTCTCATGATTGGTCACCGTTTTGCAACAAAGATATCAGATAATTACACCAAACTGGGTCACAGACGGTTCACCATCTTGCCTGACTCACATTGATCTTTTCTGAGACCAGTGGATTGTTTGACTGATATGATGTTCATGAGGTGATCAGAAATAAATATGTCTTTCTCTAGGCACCAGCAGTGTGCCAGATCATGTAGAGCTGTTGAAAATATTAAAATACTCAACTAAATGACCATTATTAAATGATCTACAAGTATTATTCACTCAGTGACTTTTGGACTACAGGGACCAATCCTAAACCAAAGCATTTACTAGTGCAAAGGTAAGTGACTGCAAAGTTAAACTAGTTAAATAGAATACATAAAGTTGTATATGTCATTAAGTTTAGTAGGCAGGCCTTCCAGTCCCCCGTCATAACTGGCCAGACTCTGGTTTCAAAAACTCAACATGGCTGCCTTTGTAAACTGGATACTAAAGATTCACTTTTGTAGAGTGGAAGTAGTTGGAGACAAGTCATTTATCTTTACATACAGTATTTGGCCAAGACCGTATCACAATCATTGTGTCTTACCATCACTTGCCACCAAAGGCAGTCAATAATGTTTTTGCCTGTCTGTCTGTGTTTGCATGCCATCTCAAAATATCTCGTGAAACAAAATTGTTGAGAAACTTCCAGAAAGTAACTTCTAGATTAACCACTCACTGACTTTGGGGTTCGACTGTGTTCAAGATGGCCACCAAGCGAGAACAAAAATAACTATTTTGCAATTTTATGTGGTGGTAGGCAGTGTTGGGAAAGTTACTTTTAAAAAGTAATTAGTTATAGTTACTAATTACTTTATCAATAAAGTAACTCAGTTACTAACTGAGTTACGAGATTACAAAAGTAACTAATTACCAAGAAAAATAACTACTTAGTTACTTTTTTCATTAAAGAATGCAAGAAAAATGGGTTAACTGAACTTACTCAATTTACTATGAATTACTACAATAGTGAAATATAAATGACTAATGACTGGAACATAATAAAATGTGTGTCCAAATGTTTTTTATGAACCTGCATAATTTAAATAAATAAGCACTTAACAGGAGGAACTACTAACAGGAACATTACACTTATCTAGACTATTAAAAGGTCACTGTGTGATATTTAACAAGACCCCAATCAACTGAAATTTAAAATTGCAAATAGAAACACATGTAAAGGTTCCCGAGCCTTTAAATAGTCTCTCAGTCTAGTTAAAATACAGAAATGAATGTAATTTTGCACAGCATTCTAATTTTTCCAGCTTCACATAATTGTGTGTTTTTAGTAGCATTTCTGTTGCTGGTAATCTAGTAATGGTTAAATAAATAAATAAAATCCTTTAAAATGACGCTAGAAGAGGCACAAGCCTGATGGAGGGCTTACATTTAGTAACTTGGGTCAGACCCAAACATAGAAGAGCTGAAGCTGGGTGGTAAACACACACAGGTAGTTCTAATAACACCTGAGCTCCATGTCGTTTGAGACTGATGCATCAGTGTTACAGCGGCACTAAAGAATGATCAGAAACAAGTTACAGCTGGATGATCTAGGAAGGTAGAAGATCGTGACGTCTGAGCGGTGAACAGGTGAGCGGACCCTCAGGACGTCCCACTGTCATGCTGAGGGCACGGCTGCAGATCCACACCTGCAGCCGTAGACAATTCATCACGTCTTCCTCGTTCTTCACGGGCCGTGATGTGCTTGGATGAAAACATCTGCCTCTTTAGCTCCTGATCAGCTGATGACAGCTTCAACACACCATGCAGCTTAACGCACTCATTTCCTTATCAGTAACAGAAACAATCGTTTTGTTAAAAGAAGACGGTAATTAATTAGTTTGCACGTTACTGAAAAAAATATTTTTTTTAGTAACGCGGTTATTTTAAACACCGTTATTCCCATCACTGCTCTGTTGTGTCTACAGCATGCAGTGACTGAGACAGTGAGGGTCTCCGCCCACCCGGCCAATCATCATCGTGTTTGTAAGTGCGTTATCGACACCTCTCTCCCTGGCTGCAGCTGAAGTGCGGCGGTCAGAAAGCCTCACACTGTTGCTCAACGTTCGACAAGCACATAGTAACGCACAACCATCCGTCCCCAGTAACGGTATGGTGTTGCAACAGTGGGAAAAATAATTAATTAGATTATTCCGTTACCCAAAAAAAAGAACACCGTTATTTTAAACGGCGTTATTCCCATCACTGGTGGTAGGTAAAAGTCATTCACAACAAATAAAATTCCATTATTTCAGATGTGCTCAGTAAAAAAATTGCCATTAAAGATGGTAAGCAATCTGCATGTGTTTGTTAGTGGGGATTGCTTGTTATTGAGTTTGTGGACCTGAGTAATTTCACGCCACCACGCAAGACATGAGTTTTGATTCCTACACTGGAAATGTAAGGTTTGCAGATTCAATTGATAAGTTAAGGAGCAGATGTTAAAATGGGGCATGTAAAAAGATAAAAACATAAAATGTTCAAAGAATTTGCAAAGAGGACTGGAACAGATGCAGGACTGATTAAAAATCCATACCTGCATCTTCTCTCATTGGACCTGAAGCATGCAGCTCATGCAAAGTGTCCAACTTTAGTCAACAAGTTGACCTCTGTGGAAATCAGGAAAAATCATTGCAAATGAGATGAATAAAGGTAAGCTAAATATATTTATTTATTTTTCTTGTAACAATAATATTAACATGTGCATTTCTAACTTTTGGCAGTCTTTTAGATGTTTAAGAGTTGACCAAATTTCAAGAAGTAAAGTGCAATGACAGAATTTAAAATCAAAGTTGTCTAATCTTTAATGTTTCAATTAATTTTTTGTTTTTTCAGCAGCGTTTCTTTCGTCATGCAGAACAGATGTTCCAGATACAGGTTTAGAAGTAGTGGACAATGGGGACAAATGAGCCAGCTGGCCTTCTGTTCACCTCTTTTCCTTGACATTGTTTCCATAATAACACCTGAATTGTGGATGTTTGGGTTTTAATTGTGTATCAGATCATATGACAGGGCCCTGGAACTAGGTCCGAGAGTCACACGAACCCTTGTGTCTTGTGGAGGGCATGTTCTGGTCAAGCCCCTGAGCCAGCTAGACAATCTACTGACATGCTACCTTTTCATCAAGGTGTATCCCATTTCCTTAATCTGTTGCAATAATTAATGTGGGGCTTGTAAAATTATGTCCCACGTTAATCTAAAATTGAAAAGATCAAGGACAAAAGGCAAATTTGTAGGATTAGCACACAAACAAAAAAGAAGATGGACCGAGATGAAGATGGGGTGTCAGTTCCTGCCATTGCTTTGGATGTGGATGGAGAGACGTGTGAGTTGGGTTCGGGGGCTGTGCTCCACCTCATTCAATTCACTCATCTGCGTACCACAGGTGTTTTTTTAAGTCAGCTGAGATGTACATCCACTGTGGCACCACATGCCAGAGATTCTCTAGCTGATCCTTAGGCTGAGCCACATGTTCTGGTCACCTGTTCACCTTATTCGGGTGACACTCTGCTGGGGCGACTGATGGCTCCCGTCTCAGAAGGTGACTGAGATGGTGATCAGCATCCTGTAAGTTACCTCCACATTAAGCTTCCACCCAAATTTGAAGAAGATTCCTGATACCATTTATTAAAAATAATAATACAATAACACATTTTATTTCAACAGCTCTTTTCTAAACACTCAAGGACACTTTACAGACAGAGATAAAATACACAACAATAAAAGATAAAACAGCATAAAACAAACAGACAGATTGGAGCAAAGAGAGTAATTATTGGAATGCTAGACGGAACAGGTGGGTTTTGAGTCTGGTTTTAAAGAGAGTGATGGAGTCAATGTTACGGAGGTCAGGAGGGAGTGAGTTCCAGAGCTGGGGAGCAGAGCGACAGAAGGCCCTGCTCCCCATAGTGACCAGACGGAAAGGTGGGACAGAGAGGTGGATGGAGGAGGACCTGAGGGAACGGGTGGAGGTTGAAGGATGAAGGAGGTCTGAGAGGTACGGGGGAGCTAGGTTATGGGTGGCTTTGAATGTATGTAGTAGAATTTTGAATTGGATTCTGGAAGTGACTGGGAGCCAGTGGAGCTGCTGAAGAACAGGGGTGATGTGGTGGAAGGAGGGAGTTCTGGTAATGATGCGGGCTGCCGAGTTCTGGAGAAGTTGGAGTTTATGGAGGGATTTGTGAGGAAAACCGAAGAGAAGAGCGTTGCAGTAGTCAATATGGGAAGTGATGAGGCTGTGGACAAGGATGGTGACTGAGTGAGTGGTGAGGGAGGGGTGTAGGCAGTTAATGTTACGTAGATGGAAGTGGGCAGACCGGGTAATATTGTTTATGTGGGACTGGAAGGATAGTGAGGAGTCGAGGATGACACCCAGACTCTTGACCTGAGGGGAGGGGGAAACTAAGGAGTTGTCGACAGGAGGTGTAAAGCTGTGTATTTTGGATAGTAAAGATTTAGTGCCGACAAGTAACATTTCTGTTTTATCACTGTTAAGTTTGAGAAATTTTGATGTGAACCAGTCTTTGATTCCAGATAAACAATTGGTTAGGGAGGAAGGAGGGAGTGAAGAGGAGGGTCTGGAGGATACATAGAGCTGGGTGTCATCCGCGTAACAATGAAAATGGATGTCAAATTTACGGAAAATATTTCCCAGGGGAAGAAGGTAAGTGATGAAAATGAGTGGACCAAGAACAGAGCCTTGGGGGCACCGGTAGTGACAGGGAAGTGACGGGAAGTGAAGGATTTGAGTTGAATAAACTGAGCACAGCCAGAGAGATATGAACGGAACCAATCAAGCGGGGTATGAGAAATGCCAAGGGAAGACAATCTATGGAGGAGGATGGTGTGAGAGATGGTATCGAAGGCCGAACTCAAGTTGAGGAGGATGAGGATGGAGAGCAGTCCAGCATCGGCAGCAATGAGGAGGTCGTTAGTGATTTTTATGAGTGCAGTTTCTGTACTATGGCCAGGGCGAAAACCAGACTGGAAGGGCTCATAGAGGCTCTTGAGGGTGAGATGAGCATGGAGTTGAACAGAGATTATTTTTTTCTAGGATTTTTGAAAGAAAGGGAAGATTTGAGATGGGACGAAGATAATTGAAATTAGGATATTAGGTCTAATTAAACCAAGAACTGTCTGTTAGGGTTTTAAAAATTATAATGTGAAAGCAGATATCTATACATTTATTATGTTTATTGTGTGCAGCAAAATATCCTTTGTGTGCTGATCTTTTCCAAGTCTAAATTGACAGTTGCATGCTGGGAAATAAACTATAACCACTTTCTGTATGAGATGTTTTGAACTCCAAAGTTGCTTCCAGCAAGACAACCACCCACCTCTGCAGTATACCATATTGCTCTATGTGATAATAAAGCAGCTAATATTACATTTCAGGAAAATGCTTAGCTTGATAAATAGCTATAATTCCTGTTCCAATTCCACCTCTGATGAAGAGCCTTTTCTATTGGCTGCATTGCCAGTGTGATTGTGCTCTGATTGTGTGATGAATAAAAGTCATTGTTATTTGTGAATTAAACTGTCCTTTCTTTATATTACCTTTTTTACATTTTACTTCAAAGTAAAATTCATGCCATTGGTCATTTTTATTGTTGGAAGTTGTACAATTTATTACTTTGAGTATTGTCATTGATTTTATCAATATGTTTATCAATAACCCATTTCCTGTAGTGAAGAGAGAATGAGACAATGAACAACAAGTCAAACAGTTAAAACTGTGGCAAGATGCCTGAGGCAAATGCCCTGAACATCCAGCCACAGAGATTATTTATAGAGAGATAGTGTGTGTGTGTGTGTGTGTGTGTGTGTGTGTGTGTGTGTGTGTGTGTGTGTGTGTGTGTGTGTGTGTGTGTGTGTGTGTGTGTGTGTGTGTGTGTGTGTGTGTGAGAGAGAGAGAGAGAGAGAGAAGTCAAGAATGTGTGTGTGTGTGTGTGTGTGTGTGTGTGTGTGTGTGTGTGTGTGTGTGTGTGTGTGTGTGTGTGTGTGTGTGTGTGTGTGTGTGTGTGTGTGTGAGTGTGTGCGTGTGTGTGTGCGTGTGGGTGTGGCTTGTGTGGGTGTGTCTGAATGAGTGAGCATGATCAAAGAGTCATAGAGCAATACATTTACATTCAGCTGACTAAGTCAATGATCAAGAATTAATAAACATAAATTTTTCCATAACAGGTATTTTTTTAAATCTTTATTTTAGTTTTTTGGGTGTGATTGAAGTAGGTATCAAGTCACGATAAGCAATAATTTTAGGTTCATGCTTTTTAAAGCAACAGTTTATTTGTTTTTTCCCCTGCTTTTTATTAAATCTCCTCTTATATTTATATCTCTCTATCCACCAGTTTGCAGCAGCAGAGTTTCCTTCAGTCTTGAGACCTGCGAGAAGTCCCAGGATCAAATCCCGGACAAGCCCTCGTATTGTTTGTTCTAGGAGGTAAAGGAGGGTGCAACACAAAAAAAAAACAAAATATATGAAGGAAATTGAACCAAAGTCTTTGAACCTTTCTAACAGTTTTATTTTACCAGATGGTTTAGTCAAAATAAGATGATGCCCATCAATACAATAAACAAAAGGCGACTCTTGAATTTAAATATAAATAGCTTAAAAATAGCACACCAAGAGAAAACCTGCTGGGTTAACCTAATGTAAACACAAAAGGCAGGATAAACTCACAGCAGTCAAAAGATCAACATTTGTCAGAGCTTTGAGAAGTTATATTTGCTTTCCAAACTGCAAATCAAAATGTTTGAATTTTAAAGTAAAACTAATGTATTTTTATTGAAGTCATCTTGATTTTAAAATAAATAAAAACATTTTACAAAAAATCTATTTAGCACAGAAAAGTATTACAAATTGTTTTGAATTTACCTAAATGGAATAAATTTACTAATCACATAAATAACTTGACTATTAGTAAGAAGAGCTGTTTTATTACTTCACTGATATTTAACTATGAGATTGTGTGTTCCAGATAATATTTAACTAAATGTTTAGTTAGGGTGTGTGTTTTATATCTTGTTTATCTACTGTTGTCATATTGTGTAAAGCTTAGTGTGTCCTATCAGTCTGTTGTGCCTTTAATATTACATTTTTATTTTTAGGAGGAGACTGGCTCAGGATTTTGTGGACTGGTGCCAGTTGAACTATCTACAGATTAATACCAGCAAAACTAAGGAGCTGGTGGTAGACTTTTGTAGGCATAAGCATTCCTCGCTTCAACCATTGAGCATACAGGGCATGGACATTGAGACTGTGGACAGTTACAGGTACCTTGGGGTCATGGACGTAATTTTCACTTTAGAAGTGGGGGGGGCACGGGGGAGGGAGGAGGGGGGAGGGGTATCTTTACGGTATGCTCTAATGGGAAACAGACTTCAACACAAACGGTTGTTTTCCGCTTGGTCCTAGAGCTCATCCAGTGTTAATTTAATATAGCGTAATACTGTTTTGGATGGTAAAAAGTGCAGGGGTCAAAACTTGACTTTGGAAAATGTGGGGGGGGGACATGTCCCCCCTGTTCCCCATATCTCCCATCCCATGCAGGTGATTTTGACAGCTATGAGCAGCTCCTTTAGTGCGGCACCCAAGGTGTGGGACAGAGAGATTCCGGAGGTCTTTCCTCCCCACTGCTGTCAGACTTTACAACAAATCTGTTGGATGAAGTTTTACTCTGTATTTCTAAGCTGTATATAGTATGGTTATTATTTTTTAACCCATTCTTAAGGTATAAATTGTCTATTGTATTGAGTTTATTTTATCTCATTACGATTGAACTTATTGTATTTTAGTGTTTTCTCCCTCTGCTGCATAACTTTTACCTTACTTTTACTTGGCTGTAAACGAAACAAATTTCCCACTTTTGGGACTAATAAAGGTTATCTTATCTTATCTTATCTTTAATTTAACATTTTTGTTTAAGTTTTCCTTGGTGAATATGTAAGGATGTTGCAACTGAAGTTTTGTAGGACTGAGTATTTATTTTTGAAAAATTACAAATAGTTTGCAGACCTTTTTATAACAAATTTAGATATGTTCATGAATAAAATTAGTTTAACTACAAGACAGGCAACCCACCAACTTTTACAGAACACATATCCACCACACATTCCCATTAAAGCATTTTTAGCCTGATGAAACTTCCCATTAGCTTATGTTGTACAAAAGCTGTTAAATTGTTTCTCCACTAGATAGCAGACAAACCCAACCTCACAGTTTTCCTCCTCAGATATGAAGGTGGTGAATCCTGGGGACTGACTAATCAGTACAAGTTTTCTCCTGAGGTAAGGGGCGTTATGGTTGGGGTTAGGTTAGGGTTTGATGACATCACAAGCAGAGCACAAACTAATCATGTTATTCAATTCAAGACTGAATCACCACCAAACTGCAGAGTTTCTGGTCTCAAACAAACGTTTTTACTCCACATTTGATTCTGAACATCTCTGCTTAGTGTTCTGATAATAAATAAACAAGACAAGGTCCTCTTCTGCAAAGGATCAGACACTGATGAACGTTTAGAGAAAAATGCATTTGCGCTGAAATTACGGGGCTCTCATAGAAACTCGAGTTTCAGCACTTAATTAATTTTTTAAACTGCAACCGAATATGTCCAAGGACATTGAGATATAATTGTTTTTCTTTTCTTTATTTCATGTTTTCGCCACTTTAATGGCTTCTTTTAAAGCACTGCTTTTAATTCACTAGAATGTTTAGAGATAAAATGTGTTTTTTGATAGAAAATATTTTGATATTCTGTCGAATCTGGGTTTGATCTCTGTGAAAATGAAGATATGTTGCTTTGGAAGAGACATTTCGAGGGCCGCATTTAAGGCACACCTCAGGAGGAAGAGGAAATAGTTTGACCCAAATCATCACTGATGTCCTTGAAGACGCTCACCTATTTATAACACTAGGAACCTAGAGGCCACCTCTAGTCCTCTTTCCTCCTCGTCTTTGTAATGTTCCCAGTCCAAACCTTTATTCTTATATGGTCTGAGTGCACTTTCATTTTTACTTGTACAGAACCACAAGGCCCCCACAGGGCCTTGAAATCAATCTCACAGAGCTTAAAATAATCAACCTAGTTGAGGAGGAGAGCTTACCAGTAACAAGTACAGTAGAGGAAACCTTATTTTTACTCCTCTCCCTTTCACTTAAACTCTGGAGGACAAAAAATCTTATATATTCCTTTGATTTCAACAACTCATTTTATTAATAATGCAATAAGTCAGACTTTTGCAGGAAAATTATCACAAAATAGTGTAATGTCTCAGTCCTGTTGGAAAGAAAGTAGCATTGAAACAGAATTGCTTCTCAGCTGACTGGGGGATGTCGGTTATGCTCCTTATCAAAAAGGCCAAAGAGGGACGTAGTATTTGTTTACAATCTGTGAGCCTGCAGGATTGCTGAGTTTGCTCTTGCATTTGCAATTTGACGCCGACCAGCAAAAAACATCAGAGCTGTTTAAAGAACAAAAGCCAGTAAAAAGAGTGACCCATACGTTATTTCTTGTACCCCGAAGAAGCCACGGCATCTTTTTGTTTTACTTTAATATTGGTTAAAGAAGTCTAGAGGCTAACATTGAGCTAACATTGCTAACAATAAATTTGAAACAACTAATCAACTCAATTACCAACAACTCGATATTAGACTGAAATTTATTCATCTACTTATCAACTTACTATGTATGACTGGTCTTTGCTTGCCATCTAGAATCTTCTGGCGCTGATCCATAGCTGGCAACTGCCATGAAACTCATGAACAGAAGTGAAGGAGTCACTTTGTTTTGAAAAAGGACTGCAGTACACAAATTTGACAACAAGATGTCATTCTTGCTTCATGTCCCTTTGAGGTACATATTTTGATTTGCATCATCTCTCACCCTTTCTTTCCACATGAGTGGCATGCAATGTAATAGAGGCTTTTTACCTGCAATCTCTCTTCCAACGATAGTGCATCTTCAGGCAGAGGGTCCCGGGAGGTCACAAAATCCTGAGAGAATTCAAAACAACATGCGTGACTTTGCAAGTTCACACTACAACAAGCAAAGAGAAAATCGGCTGCATGTATCCAAAGGAGAAGGACAAGGGCTCAGGTTTCATCTTTCCAGATACATACATTGCAGCTTTGCACCTAATTCAAAAACATGTTCAGTCTAGGCCACACCCTTTTGCATCCAATCAAAACAACCATTCTCACACAATAGAGACTAACGACTCCTCAGGGAGTAGGGGTGTTCATAGTTAGGTTCAGCTCATTAAGAAATAAACAGCTATAGTTTATATGCATGACTGCATATTCCAGTCAGAATTGACAGAGCTCTATTTTCGGTTCTGTTTACCTCTTCTACAGAAGTAAAAAGGAAATGATGTTCGGTTTTTACTAGTTAAGCAAGGAGAAATCTGTACATGACTTTTATTTTGAAAGCTTTTAGATGTTTTACACAGTTTTATGTCGAGTTTGGTGCGTTCTGGAAGCGTAAAATGAAAAAAAAACTGACTCAAAACATAAGCAACGCATCTTTATGCTTCTGAGACGAGTTTAAATGTGACACTTTGAGGTCCGTGGAAAGGAACCTGTCCACTATAATGGTGGCTAGAGTTTTACAACGCTTTTACGTCTGGTGGAAAGTAGGGGTCCCACACACCACCAGCAAGTAAACAAACACACATTTGCTTAATAAACTAAAACTACAGATGACATTTAATTAAGGGATACACACTATGTGTATGGCAGTGCAATGTGACTCACCTACATGCGTGTGCATGCGTGTGTGTGTGTGTGTGTGTGTGTGTGTGTGTGTGTGTGTGTGTGTGTGTGTGTGTGTGTGTGTGTGTGTGTGTGTGTGTGTGTGTGTTAAAACTCCTGTTTACTGAAGAAAATGAAGAAGTAGAGAGGAAATAAAGGGTGCTGCTTGCA